AATAATAATAATAATAATAATAATAATAATAATAATAATAATAATAATAATAGTAATAATAATAATAATAATAAATCCATGAGTGAATGTACCATATAAACTTTGTTGATGTGATTCTGTGTAAATATAACGACTCGTTCTTGAGATCCGCTCAAATGAGGCAAAGTTGGAAAGATAGGGTATGATTGGATATAAATCTCTATGGATTTTTTACTTTGGTTAACCATAAATTTTGATTTTATAGTAAAATAATTTTGATTAAAGTTCATTTGACGTAAAAGTAAAATAACAGTGATTGAAAGTGGTGTGTAGTTATGACAAAATTTTATTTGTGAGTTGTCTCACATCGTTTAGACAGACAAATATGCCTAACTTATAAGCCTAGTGGGTCTCTCCTCTTTTTACCAATTGATTTTAGGATGAAACCTTACTGTGACACGTCTATCATAGTCGGTTGTACGTGGGTTCGTGCGATGATGCAACTGTTCGCGCAGCCTAGTAGGGCTTGGGCCTATTTTGAAGGACTCACAAGTGAGTATATTGGGCTACTCCGCCTACAACTGCAAATGTTTTTAGGATGGGACCGCACCCAGCTTCATATTATTTAATTATATTGATAACATTGAATAGATGTTTGGTTGAATTAAATTTGAGTTGTGATTGGATTTTTCTAATTAAGATTTATATCCAACAGCAACCTATAAGGTTTGAGAATATGAATTTTTCAAGGTTTTAAATAGCGGGCTAAAACGTTTATTGCACTGTAGCTATAGCGGAGTTATAGCGGAGATTTAGCGGGATTTAGCGGCTAAATTGCACATGAATACAAATAGCGGCACGCTGCCAAAAAAAGCTATTTCCAAATAGCGGCAACTTTAGCGAGCTATTTATTTCCTTGGAATTTTTACTTATTTTTAAATTATATTTGTTTGGCTCTTTAAGGTTCAAGTTTGTCTCGTAAATATTGACTAACGAGATGAGGTTGAACTCTTTTATCAGCTCTTTTAGTTAACAAGCTAAGATGCCCAATTTTGAGCTCTAGTATTATAAACTCGAGCTCAGTTGGACTGAGCTCGTTTTCGACTGAGCTCGTTTTCATCTGTAATTGTGTGGGATAAATAATTAATCATTTTCTCAAATATTCATCCTTTTTGAATAAACCATGTTTTTGTTTCTACCATTACATGAAATAATTTTATCTTCTCAATACAAGTACATCTCTATGTTTCATTTTTTAGATAATATAAGGAAATAATTAGTTGGGGATCTTGTGTGACTTGTTAGTATTTTAATATATTTATTTTAAATAAATATGTCCAAGAGATCGTTAAATATATTATTTGTAGAGTTCTATTTATTTATGTTTGTAAATTATTGGTACTTTTTAGGGGCCCCAGTTCTTTTTTATGTGTCACATCAGATGGATTTTTTTTATTATTCTTTATTATATTTTGGTTTTATTTCATACTCAGATAGTTATAATTCTCGCCGACGTTGCCCAATAAGAAAATGCCACGTAGGTGTTTGTAGCTGGGCCCATCCCGGTGGGCCGGAATGTGTTTGGTTTTTATGGGTTATGGGGTGCAGGACAAGAAGGGGACAGTGGGCTAACACAAGGGTTGGCACTTGACAGCTCCTCATATCATCATATGGCCCATCCAATGCGTTGTCAAAATTAAACATTATTGTATAAAAATATATTTTAATTAATAGAAAAAAATAAAAAAAAAATAAAAAATATAAAAAAAAATGGACCATTGATTTTTTTTCAAACAATCTTGCACCAATTAATAAGAAAGTTTTAGTTAAAATATGAACAGCATTTTTGCACTTTGAGCACTTTTACTAAATTACAATCAACATAATAATTTTGAAAAGACCGCCTTGTACATTTGTACGTTAAATCTCTCTTATATATTAATTCAAGACGTGTTGAGTTTAAGTGGCAGATTCTTATTCTTCGAATACTGACATGGCGAAAAGCTATGCTTAGTAATGTTGTTTATATTTTTATTTGTGCTCTAGAGTTAGGCTTGATATTAACATAAATAATTTTTTTCAAACTTGGTAAGTTTATATTTAATTTGGTTTTTTTTGGTAGTACATATTTCCTTATTAGTTTTGGCAAGTAGCAATATTAACATATTATAATTTTCTTTTATATTTCTCTCTTAAATTACGTTTTACAAATCACTTTCTGCACTATCTATTTCTTTTTTTTTCTCATCAATTAGTCCATAAAAAATTTTAAATAAGAAATTTATTTTAGCAATAACTTTTATCATATATTTCTTAACTCACCACCCATGTAGTACACAAGTATTGTACTAGCAATAATTTATGCATTAACTCATGTGGCATAAGATTAACATATTGAACAAACGATAATGCTCTCCTACCCACGGTGGACACATGTTAATATGCCCACCGCTTATGTGACATACACACATTGGTGATGTTAATATGTTCAAAAAAATTGGTAATGTGTGCATGCTACATAAGTAGTGTGCATATTAACATGTGCCCATTGTGGGTAGGAGAGCATTACCGATTGTACGAAATAAGTATGTTTTTGAAAGATCGTGATATGTGAAAAAAATTATCTCAATAAATTGGAAATTTTTTAAAAAGAAGAAACATAGGTATGTTAATTGCTCATTTTTATCTTTATAATGAGCCTTTTTATATATTGTGTATATTCTACAATTACAAAAATAAATCACAATTTTATTTCACACACACAATTAAATTTGAATATGTGAGTGCGTGTTTGCTTAAAAATAATTATAAAACATAATTTTCTCAAACAATGACATAAAGTAGAGAAATTAACATGATAATTTAAACATGAACGGTAAAAAAATACAGCGGAACCGTCCCGTAACGATCCATGGTAGCATTCTCCTGTATTTTGACCTATATTTTCCCTTCGCTTTCAATGTTGCAATATTATCCAACATTTTACAAATTTCAAAGGGCACTTGAAGAATTTTTCAACAAACTACTTAGATCATGCATACCATAGTCTATAAAGAAATAAAATATATATGCCTTAAGTATGTGAAAAGATTGCGTAATTGATCCGCTATTAGAGAAAAATTTATGATTAATATAGTGTTAGGTTTACATTAAAAAAAATGTTATGGTAACAATTTCGTCAAAAGTGTCTACTTCAAATGTTTTCTCTTGCACCACTTGATTAATTAATGTATCTAAGAGTGAGATATAGTCTCAAAGTCAAAAGTTTGCTTTGTATAGTCCAAAGCTAAAAATTTGCTCAACGTGCACACAAATCTAAGGGTCTTATTCTAGCAATCCATGTTTGAATTCTACCAAAGATTTAATTTCGAGCTCGATTTGTTTAAACTAGCTGAAGTTCGACTCGACTCAGCTCAACTTGTTCAGTAAACTTAAAAATCTAAACAAGCTGTTCTGTTCGCAGATATGAAATATTCGTTTGTGGATTTTGCATGTTCCTGTTTAGAGCTCATAAAAACTAAAGACGGGTATATATGTTCGTAAACAATTAGTTCCACTCGCATGGTTCAATAAATGAACTCAATCAATTGTTTGCTCCGACAACTCGAGTCCTATTGAACTGTATCAACAAACTTGATTCGAATAACAACTCTACTCAAATATTAACAAGCCGAAATCTAAAAAGTAATTAAAGCAAGTAAAAAATACTTGAGATAAAGAAAAAAAAAAGTAAATAAATTAATTAAATAAATAATATAAGGTACTTAGGGAATTTGACATTTGGGTATTATGATCTTAATAAGGTTGTTTGGAAACAAGAACAAAACCTTCCACATGACGCCGATTCTTGCTGTCCCCCCGACGGCGCATCTTAGCGACCTCCACTCCTCTCTGTTACCATATTTTCGCTAAATTGGCCCGACCTAATTTGGGGGGAAAAAATTGTGGTCAATTTTATATTATTTGTTTTGTTTATTTGATTTTGAAATGAAATAGTTGAACGTAATCCCGTTGGGACACGTTGAAATCTTATTCGTAATATACAGTTTTGCTATGAAGATATGATATAATTGTTGTATATTACCTCACATGTTAAATATTTGCACAATTGTTCGGTCTTAAAACATCGCATAATAATCGATCAACTTATATTATTTAATCCATTTTTTCCTAATTTATTTTATGAATTTTCTGCCCAAATGTACCTACTGGCCACAGTTTAGGGAAGTTAATCAAATTGCTCACAAATTGTTTGATTCTAGATTGCACAGATTCAAAGAACAAATCAAAGAGCTCGAGGAAAAAGATGAGAGAGAAAAATGAACATCGGCTAGATCTATTTCACATAATGAAAAATTAGGGTACATGAGTTTTTTTGCCTTTTGATATTTATATCTAGGAAAATGCTATAGTCTTGTGACGGAATGTTTCTGTAAGAGATTTTAGGCTAAGGAAAATCCCGAACCATTCCGTCACGTGACTTTAATCTTTTCCTTTATACCTATTACAAGTATTGACCTAAGGAAAGAGTTGCTGTTCACAAAGTAGCAAATTTAAGTCTAATAATAAAAGGATTACATAAAAGAAGCAAATTATATAAAATATATATCTCTAACACAAATACCGTTTTCCAGCCAAATTGTGTTAAAAATTTTGGAAAATTCTAAGGTCCGTTGGAGATGGTGCAGTCAGTGTTTTTTACCATTAAATACAGGTATAAATTATTTTGTGTGAATAATCTACTGTAATCAATACTGATGTAATTATAATAATTACCAAAAATTTCTCAATATGCACTAAAACCATACTTACCCGCCAACAAAAGTAGATAATAATAAGCTCTCAACTAATTCAATTATCACCAGCAATCAGCATCGTACTATGGAAGTTGTCATTTGTTGACACGACATCAACAGGCGATTAACGTGGTACCACCACATTCTATGTCGTGCCTTTTTTCCTATACACATTTTACAACCTAATAACAAGCGAACAAAATAATAATTAATGATAAAATAAAATCAAAAGACACTGAACGATTCCTTCTGTGACCTAGCCGGCGCCGTCTTCTGCCGCCTCAACCTCGCCGTGCTCTGCGGCGGCGGCGCCGACCGGATGAGTGCGAAATTCATCCCTTTGAAAAACGGGTGCGTCTTAACATCGGCCGCCCCGTGCCTCGACCCGAGCCTCCGGGCCGGATCCTTCTCCAGCAGGCCCGCAATCAGGTCCCTTGCGGCCCGCGCCTCCCCTCCGGGCCCGTCCGGCGGGAACTCGAGCGGGGACCGCACGATGTTGCGCAGGGTCGCTTCGTTGGTGGGCCCCGCGAAAGGGGTCCGACCGTAGATCATCTCGTAGACGAACACCCCAAAGGCCCACCAGTCGACCGGGCTGCCGTGGGGCCCGCCGCGCGCCACCTCGGGCGCTACGTACTCGTGGGTCCCGACGAAGGAGCACGACCGGGCAGCGACGGGTTCGGCCACAAACCGGAGGCCCGCCGCTAGGGCCGTCCTGACTTTCCGGGAGCGGAAGAGGCGGCGGCCGCCGAAAGGGAGGCAGGGGAAGAGGGAGGGAGGCGGCGGTCCCGGGGAGGAGTCCGGGGACTCGAGGGCGGCGGTGGAGTCGGAGCAGAGGGAGAGGTCGAAGTCGGTGAGCATGATGTGGCCGTCGGACCTCACAAGCACGTTCTCGGGCTTTAGGTCTCTGTAAACTATTCCGAGCATGTGTAGGTACTCTAGTGCCACAAGAACTTCAGCTGCGTAAAACCTGGAGATTTGTTTGGTTAGTAAGAAAGTAAAATCATCTAACAATTTGCAAGAATTATTAATTAATGACTGAAAAAAGGGGCTTTTGATTTCTTGCTTGAATGGATAAAAGGCTAAAGGGCTTTTTCTTGATTAGTAAATTTTGGTATCAGACTTAGCAATTGGCATAAACAAGAAAAATCCCAAATGAGGCAAATTTCCCTTGGGACAATACTTCATCTCATATGTTAAAAACAGGGCTAAAAAAGAGACAAAGGCCAGAAACAACCAATTAAAAAATAATTTAAATTACCTCGCAGCGCTAATGGAGAACCGTTTGTGCGGCTGCTTGTGCCTGAGAGAATGCAAATCCCCGCCGGGACAGTACTCCATCACCACGCACGAGAAGCGCGACGCTTCAAATTCGGCAAAAAGCGTCGGCAGAAACGGGTGGTCCAGCCTCCGCATGATCTTCCGCTCGGTCTCCGCCCTCGCCGTCTTCTTCTTCAGTGCCACCGCGTCGCTGTCCACCACCTTCATCGCGTAGAGCCGCCCGTCGTCCGCCGCTCCGCGGAGGCGGCAGAGGTAGACGCGGCCGATGTCGCCGCCGCCGATCTGCCGCACTAGGCTGAAGTCGCGGAGGCCGGGGCTGCCCCGCAGGGGCACGCCCCTGAACGAGGAGTCCGACGACCGGTGAGGCCGCAGCGCGGCAGTCTGATCCGGCGAACTCGTCGGTAGCTCGAACGAGAACCGGCCGAAGCTGGCGGAGTGGCTGAGGGCCGTCGCGGCAGTTGTATCGCTGCTCATCGAGCTCTTGCCGGAGTACAATCCGTCGGAATCCGAATTCCTGCGTGAATCGTCTAGCATTTTGCGCCGGATTTCATGTACTGATCGAGATTATCCTCAGAAAACAACAGAAATTGGGGATTTTGAGCTCAAATCCAAAACAAAAATCCCCAGGCTTGGTGAGTAAGACAGAGGTTGAAGGTAGGAAGAAGATAATGATTAATGGAGCTAACTTTTCAGAGAGTATTAAGAATTAGTTGCAGTGAAGATAGAGAAGGAGAGAGTAGAAACAAGCTTTGCAATTATCTGTGTATATTAATGGTGGATTAGGGTTTCCGTACGATCACAGAAAACAGAGTAATGGTAGAGCCAGCTTCACTTTTAAAAGCTCTGAACTTATACGTGTGTGTATGTGTGTGTGAAAGCTATTATATTTTGAGACTTGAGAGTTTGAGAGAGAGGGAAGCTTTTTGAGAAAAAAATGGTGGTTGGGGTTATTTAACAAACATGGTTATATAGGTGTTGTGGTTTTTTTTTTTCTTTTTTTTTAGTGTAAATATCTTGGTTCGGATTTTTATTTGATTTTATTCATGTGATGCGGTTCGGTTCGATTATTATTTTGCAAGTACGGTTTTCCATTTTCTTTTTAGTTTGAGGCGATTTTGTGCGAACCGAATTCAAATGCATAGTCAAACAAAAAATTGAGTTATTTTTAGAGTGAA